GCCGAACTCGCAACTGCCCAAAGTAGTGTCTGTGCACAGTTGTACCTGCCCAGAATGTTACTGACTGGGTGAGCTGGCGAGGTGATGAAGACCCTTCATGGGTAGGATTCGACCTGTAAGGGCAGCTTTGTGAAGGAATCGGTTCTTTGAAGTGTTCTTAAGTTGCAGGTTCTGATTATCACTTTGCCTTTTATTTTTGATTTTCCGTGATGCCAAACTTTCTATTCTTGACAACTTTTATTTGATATGGAGTGAATGCAGGAGCGACGGGCACTGGATATACTTGGTTTAGAGGGTTATTCCATTCAACCTGTCCAGTGCCGGGCACAGCCCTGGCATTGGTATCTATGCACATGCAATACGATTGATTGAGTGCATATCTAGTATGTGTACGATTCGTTACTGATGCAACACAACACCGGGGTCGATGGCAGGCACAGTGCACGTTCTTGGCACACCTGTTCCCATAATTTTGCAGATTCTCTCACAATTTGCATGCAAGCCATATATTGGTTCCAACAGTATGTTGAAATGGCCTGGAAGGTTTTGGAAAAGCACACAGGACATGACTTGCCACAGACCTGCCAATATGTGACTGATGCGTGGATGCGATTGTTGATAGCACTAATCTCAAGTGAGCTGAGCACTGTCTGCCAGGTCAGGTCACATATGCAAGCGACGAACTAAAGGCTGCACATGGAATAGCCCTTGAAGCACCTCCTCCTGATGACAACCCATCAACTGCCCCACAGGAGTTGCTGGTGTCCTATGACAGTATCATTGATTCCTACTGGAAATCACAGCATGGGAGCAGGATGAAGGCGGAACTGGAGAAGGGGTTTGACAGGTGAATGGTATTCAATGGCCAGCAACAGACTCCCCATCAACTACAAATTGTGTGCCATTGTTGGCATGTGCACCCTGCTGCCACTGGCCCCCCTCTGTGTTCCGGCAGCCCCATGTTGTCCTGACAGCTTAATTGATGGCTGAAAGGATGGAACGCTCCAGATGGGGAATTGTTGCAGGGCACGGTCAGCTGTGCCTGCTCCTTTCCTAAATGGACGATGTTGTCATTGCACTGACTGCGCTGTGGCCAGGCAAGGCTGTGGCAATCCAGTGCCTGTTTCCAAGAGAGAAGATCCCATCTTCCCGTGTGGTGTGCTCAGAGTCACCTAAAGTGGGTTGCACAATACACAAATGGCCAGCTAGCAAAATTGCAACAGACAGACATCTTGCATTGTGAGCCCAGTCTCTTGCCCAACTTTGCTGTTCCCCCTGTGCAGTTCGAAGGCGCATCCCCAGGCCCTGGTTCGCAACAGGTTTGCCCTTATGTTCTGGGAAATGGTGAAGTTCGTCACAGCACGGCAGTGGACCATCACCCTCCGTGACAAGGCCCTGTTTCTTGGCCGGGTGATGCAGGTATGCAATTCATACCTGCTAGTTCAGCTGCCTGCATTGTGAATATTGGAACGAATTCGTCCACCACTGACGCTGCTGCATGTGTGCTCTATTATTGGGCCAATAGCTTATGTTCGTTTTGGTTTCCCCACTGCTGCATACATGAATGTACAAATTCAGGCTAGACTGAGTCAAGACTTTAGGCTCCCACATTTATGTGATATTCAGAGCTTCATTGCAACCGGCTGCGGGTGAAAAACATGTGTACATATGTGTGTGGATTGCATACAGTATATACGAACGGTGATGTGCATAGGGTACTCAACTTGGTGTAGGGATCAGTACATCAGGTAACCTAACCAACAGATTCCAAATTCAATGCACCTGCCAGCTTTGCTGGGTATGGACTGTGGACCGATTGGGCAGGGCTTGCAAAGAAGTCCCTACAGATTCACACCCAGACGTTGTGATTGCCTGCGTATCAGTTGCATTGATCAAATACAGTGTAGGACTGAAATGTGATCAGCAGGCGGACTTGGGGTGGAGTGGCCTGGGCGTTAGAAAGTAGGCAGCAAAGCATGTCTTGGTGCTGCTGTTCAGGTGGTGATAATCGGGCTCCTGATTGGCTCATTGTACTTTGACCTGGACAAGTCCCTTGAAGACTCGCGACCTTTCATGTCTGTGTCATTTCTGGGAGTGATGTTCTTGGCGATGACAGCGCAGCCAGAGGGCATGGAGACCCTGGCATCCAAGCCCGTTTTCTTCAAACAGGCTGACAACAACTTCTGCTCAGCGACTTCATATGCATGGGCAATGTCCTTGACTGCTGTTCCAACAGCGTTCTGTGACACTGTCGCCTACAGCATCGTTACATACTTCATGGTCGGATACACAACAGGTGTGTTGCTATTCTGCCCTGCGTGGCTTCTGTTGTGCTGCAGTGTGCCATTGTCCCTCCAGAGGCATGTGCTACATCAGTAATGAAAGGCTAACTGTTGCAATCCAACTGCCCTGAATGGGATGCCTGCTGTGAATTCACATTCGAGTACAATTTGATTGCATTCACTTGAACACGATAAAGTGTTTGCCTTGCACCATTTGTGCTTTTCTCCTCCACAGATGGGTGCTCCTGTTCCGTTTGCAGTTCCTGCTCACCACAAGGACTGCTGTATGGCCATGAGCATCAGCAGGTCTGCTGCTCCCTAACAAGAGGCCTGGTAAAGCCAGTTGTGTGCATCGCCATCTTAACAAGTTGTGCAATGTGCACAGTAAGTAGCTAATCCATGATGCACCTGGCAACTGTGGGTGCTGCACGTTGAGCCCACAACTCCTGGCAATCCACTATTGAGTACACTGCATGCTTTTTGACCCTGAACAGGAGGACACGTTTGGACACAGTTCACACATGGGTCAACAGCATGGCAGACAATAGCATGACGGTGTTCTGTTTTGACACAGCTATCAGCAACTGGTTGCAGCAATATGATGGAGTCGACCTGGCAGGGCAATTCCGTAACGGCCTGCCTTGTTAGTTCTGCCATTGTGGAGGGACCTGACTATCTGAGTTCGTGCCCAACGTTCCACCTGTCACCTGCAGGCACGTGTTGAAACATTCCTGGCAAACTTTCTGCTTTCTTTTGCGCCTGAGCTGATTCCATAGACCAATGCCCAGGGTGATGTGTCATATCTCCTCACCTCCAGTCACGTCCACGTTGCCATTTGCCCATTTTGCATGTCCCTCTTTACACAAAAACGGTTTGTCAGCGCCTCCACATTCGACTGTCCTCAGTGCATGTCGTCATGGCGGCACAGGTTTCCAATATCCTGTAGTGACGAGTGGGGCAGCCAAGTAGCGCTTACATCTACCCTGATATCTGACATCTAACCTTTCTCCATTGGGCCTGCACAGTCAAGTGTGTGATTTCTGTCAGAGCCAAAGGGTGATTGATGGGAAATGAACACCCAGGAGCTAGAAACAAAACCGATGTGGTCCATTCGTTCTGCATTTTGTAAAACACTAAAAGGCACATGGGCGAATTAAATCGCAGCAAAAGAAGAACTTTTGTGGGGATAGTATGAATCAGGGTGCACTTTGCATGTCAAGTTTGCCAGTGCATCAGATGAAACGTTGTGCTCCACAAACTTGTGTGGCACGTTCCAGCGAGCGCATGAAACTTTGGTTGCATTTGCAATTTACTCTCACACTAAGGACGTGTCTTCTCGAGACACTGAGACATTGTTGTGCTTCAGATGCTGCCAAACACTTCTTCATCTACTGGCTGATCCTGTTCTCCAGTCGCCTGGGCATGGGATCAATCTTCAGATTCATTTCTTCAGTGGTGCCAAATCCAGTTTACTCGCAGGTGTTTGGAGGGTTGACGATTCTCATGCTGGTCATCAACTCAGGATTTACCATCACCAGAGACTCTATCCCAAGGTTGGATACCACATCTCATGGTGGCAGCACAGCACTGCACTGCACTGAACCGTGATTTACGAGTGAGTGAAGCAGCAAGGCAAGATCTGATGCCAATACAACTTGTCTCAATTTGCCTCAAACAGGTTGTGGTGTCCAACCACACAACTGTTTCAACTGCTGTGGCATTGCGATGCAGCATACAGCTGAACATTTTCTTTCAATTGTTGTTCAAAGGCTGAAAATGAACTTTCCATTTCAATCTACCCATTAATGTTCCTAGAGGTGACGATATTATGTTTGCATTGACAAACGGGGTAGTGCTCGTGCATGTCGCTTGATGGCCCCTCTGTGTGTCATTGTGACATGCCTTGCATTTGGAGCTGTGAAGCTGTCGTCATCGGCTGTGGGACAGCAGCTTATGATGGAGAATTGACTGTTTTTGTCTGTTAGTTTTTGGATCTGGGCATATTGGATCAGCCCTTTCGCCTTTGCACTGCGGGCAGTGGTGATCAACGAATTTACTTCAGGGGCGTGGGATGAACTT